GATAATTTTCATGTGGTAATGAAAGAAGAGATAAGAAAACAAGTCTGGGCTGGTTCAGAAACATACACAGAATCACATAACACACATACATATCACACATTGTGTATCCCTTCTGGTGGAGCAGCTTCTTACTAGTCTGTAACTGTGTTGCTTTAAGGGAAAAAATGGGAAGGCATTGGAAGTTGTGTTGAATTCATTGGAGAGGAATAAATGCATTCGTTCCTTCCTTCATTCATTTAGTATAGCCGAAGTCTTTACAAAAAGATAAAATACATTAAATAGAATAAAAACAAAATAAAATACATTATACAGTTAAAATAATTATTAAAACCAGACATTCTGACTGATAGAGTGTGCTCCCCTGAAGAATTGCAATGTTGTTGTTTAGTCGTTTAGTCGTGTCCGACTCTTTGTGACCCCATGGACCAGAGCACGCCAGGCACTCCTGTCTTCCACTGCCTCCCGCAGTTTGGTCAGACTCATGTTTGTAGCTTCGAGAACACTGTCCAACCATCTCATCCTCTGTTGTCCCCTTCTCCTTGTGCCCTCCATCTTTCCCAACATCAGGGTCTTTTCCAGGGAGTCTTCTCTTCTCATGAGGTGGCCAAAGTATTGGAGCCTCAGCTTCAGGATCTGTCCTTCCAGTGAGCACTCAGGGCTGATTTCCTTAAGAATGGATACGTTTGATCTTCTTGCAGTCCATGGGACTCTCAAGAGTCTCCTCCAGCACCATAATTCAAAAGCATCAATTCTTCGGCGATCAGCCTTCTTTATGGTCCAGCTCTCACTTCCATACATGACTACTGGGAAAACTCACTTCCATACATCACTACTGGGTATTGAAGAACTGCAATACCCCCCTTTAAAAACACCCAAGTCAGTGTCCATCACTACTGCCTCTTAAATCCTAATTCTACACTGTGTGAAATGTTGTTGTTTTTCTCGTTCCTCTTGTTCTTGTTATTTAGTAGCAGTAGCAGTAATTAGTTTTCTTAACCAGCCCCACACCATAAGGTCCCAAGACGAGTTACAACAATATAAAAATGTCAAGAGTTTAAACTTGTTTGCTGAGTCTATTGCCATCAATTCTAATATGTGACCTCATGAACTAGGTTGGGGTTTATTTTAGCTCTCATTAAGACTTCCAACTTTTATTCTTTTTACCCACTGACATGTTTTCATTGGAGAATTTCATGTGTCTTATCTACAATACTTCATTCCAATCTATAGAGGGGAAGAGGCAAGGAAGCTTTGCTACCAATTTAAGAAGAAAGATGTTCATTCCATCACAAGGTCCCCTTTGTCCTTATATTGCATGCCCAGCTGCATAGTCCCCCCACCACCACCTGGCACACCTGACTCCTGGGTGTGTGTGTAAATGAATGGACACAACAACTGTCTAGGATTTAAAATGGCCACAACTTTATTGATTTCAGATGTAAAAAGCCTTGGCACAGGCATTGGGTATATATCCCACTCAGCCACCTGTTGGGGAACTGAGGGATGACAGGGTCTATTTGAGGGTGGGTCAATTTCAAAATGCAGGTTTACGCAGATGGCCCCCCAAATGCTGAGGTAAGCTCTATGGCCCACTGGCCCTAAGCAACTGGCTCTTTGGACAGAGACTTCCCTACAAACCCCTCTAACCAGGTACCCTGTTATCGCCCCCACAGAAACCGGGGAGGGGGGTGAATCACCACTCCACCACCCCACAATTGGATGAAAACTATAGGATTCTGCCCAAGGCCTAAAGCACCAACTTGTGACTAGTGCTGAAGGGAAGGTGAAACTTGCAGCTCAGGGAAAATTCCTTCCTGGCCCCAAATACAGTGACTGTCATAAAACCACAGCAAAGCCCTCCTAGCTGTAAGAAAAAATGGTTAAAGCAGCAAGAATTAATGTGAGGAGGGAAAGGGTGGGTGACATGCCTGACCGACTGGATGAAGAGCACTGTGTCGGCTGGGATATATATCTGCGGGGCAGACCTGAGTGAAGCCTGCCCAACTCAGGTCTGCTCACCAAACCATGTCCCCCCAGGCCACCGCAGATTGGCCCAATTTGAAAACCGGGTTTGGTGGGAACCCGTGAGCCTTTGTGGTGGCTGAGGAGAATGTGCACAGCGTCCACTGTGCGGTGTGTCCACATCGGAAGTGCCGCATCGGCTGCAAACTTCACTCACCAGCAAAGCTCATTATCCGAAACAAGTGTTTGCTAAAGACTTAACCTGGAACTCCCTGTGGCAGTTTTGCCCAGAGAATTAACATCATCTCAGAGGAAAAAATAAAGAACTGCAAGATGTAGTTAGAAAAAATAGGCTAGAATGTCTTGTACAGACCTTTATTATAGCCACGTTTTGTTTGAGGAAAGAAATGGAAAAGTACCATAGTATCTATATCTAGGTGTTCTGCTACTTTGAAAGAAGAGGTCAAAGAGGGAGAGCATGTTTGGAGTTACAAAGGTCTCTGTGTGTTAGAGTGAAACAAGGGGGCAGTTCTATGGAGATTACAAAATCATCAGATGGAGTGATGAGGTCTGTTAGGACCTGCTGCAAATATTCTACTGATTTTATAGCACGGTGATGGAGCTCTGGCGATATTATTAGCAGGAATGAAAAGGAGGAGATCCTTTATGGAACTAAAATAATTGAAAATATGTTCTAAGGGAATGGGACATTAGGTAAACCAGTTGAAATAAAGGACCTATGATAGTCCTCTGTCAGTTATGTCAATTAATTAGAACTAGCATTGGCTATAAATCATGTATGCAGACTTTCCAATATTCAGGCCCCAAGTAATAGGATTTCAAGTGATACAGCAGAGAAAGGTTGTCTTCCTGAGGTCCTCAAGAGCTCAAGTCCTCAGTCAGAATGGACTGGGCTGATCAGTGGTCTAAAGCAACTTGTTATTAGTTTTCTTGTGATGTAATATGTTTTAGGTGTCCAAGGCTATGATCTGGAATATGTCAAAGCTTTCTCACCTTATGCTTGTTTGGTTTTGCACATTAACTAGTCTCATGAAACTTGTGGTAGTTGCTGATATTTCTTGGGGTTTATTTGAACCTTACATAGTAGAGCTTCTTTCCATAGCTCAATATTCCACCAGATAGTATACCTCAATAAAGTTGTAAACTTCTGGAAGCAAATGAACAAAGACATATTGTCAGGAGGCTCAATTCTCACCTCCCTGAAATAAAGGTAAACATTTCTATATATTAATGGTCAAAGATGTTGCCAAGATCTGTAATCTGCCAAATATTCATTTCAGTTTTCAGTGTGAACATGGCGGGATTGCAGGAATTGTAGGTTGGGGAGCTGATAGTCAAATATTCCCCAAGCTGCTAGGAACTACATCTGTACTATGTGGAACTTTGACTTGATTTGTGACACTCGTGCAAAAAGCTTCACCACAACTGCCTTACATGTGTGTATTAACATAACCAAATGCTATCATGTATTTTCATATATGCTAATTCTTCCCCCATTTTTCAAAAAACACAAAGATAAAACAACTACATGCAATCAGAGAATAGTCTACAACAATTCTGACAATTCTCTCTCTCTCTCTCTTTCTTCCTCCCTCCCTCCCTCCCTCTGTATTTTTCTGTGTCAAGGTTTTATGTTAAAATTCAGCTCATCTGTTTCTGAAAATAAACTGAACAGAACCCTTTACAGTCAAATGAATGTGAATTAAAATTTTGGACTACTTAAGCATTTTAACAAAGTATTTTGCAGGTAGGAAGATTATATATTTATAAATAGGTGGCACTCATATAACATTGGCAATTGTGGTTTCTGTTTCAATAATTATTTAGTTGGTGGATGGAATAATTCATGGCAAAAGAAGAAATAGTAAATAAAACTGTGGTGACAGAATTTATCCTCTTAGGATTCAAGGCGCTTCCTGAATGGCAGGCTCTCCTCCTTGTTATATTTTTAGCAATCTACATAGTGACAATGTTTGGAAATATCCTTATAACTGCAATGGTCCTAACCAAAAATCATCTTCACAAGCCTATGTACTTTTTCCTGGGAAATTTGTCTATTTTAGAGATCTGCTACACCTCAACAATCCTCCCTAGAATCTTGGTAAGTTTTATGAGTGGCTATCATGGGATTTCTTTTAGTGGGTGTTTCCTCCAGTTCTATTTCTTTGGTTCTTTTGCTTGCACTGAGTGTTATCTCTTATCAGTGATGTCTTATGACAGATATGTAGCAATATGTAAACCACTGCATTATGTGGCTATCATGAAGAGTAAGTTATGTGTTCAACTATCCCTTGCTCCTTGGATACTCGGTGCTGTGCTTACTGCATTTACAACCTTCCTTGCATCTCAGCTGAAATTTTGTGGCCCCAACGTAATTGACCATTTCTTTTGTGATTACACACCATTGTTAACGCTCTCCTGTAGTGAAACCCAACAGGCAGAAGCACTGATGTCAGTCTTGGGATCAGCATGCATCATGCCACCTTTGATCCTGACCTTTACTTCCTACATTTGCATAATCGGTACCATTTTGAAAATCCCTTCAAACAGCAGCAAGAAGAAAGCATTTTCTACCTGCTCCTCTCATCTTATTGTAGTCACCATTTTCTATGGGACCCTAACTATGGTGTACATGTTACCAAACACTGACGCACTGAGGGATCTGAATAAAATCTTTGCTGTTTTCTATACCATCCTGATTCCCATGTTCAATCCCTTCATCTACAGCCTGAGGAACAGAGAGTTTAAGGACACTGTTAGAGAAGTCTTCAGCAAACTTGTACCTATGAGAAGAATTCGAGGAATCTAAATGCAGTAGAATGAAATGCTTCTAGAAACACTTTTGCGTATGTAATTTGTGACTTGTAATTTAAATGAAGGTGGAAATATAATTACAGAAACAAATGCAATTGATTTTATTTTTTTAAAATAAGAATGTCCGCATATTAGCATAGAATCATAGAGTTGGAAGGGACCACAAGAGTCAGATACTACAATCCCTTGCAATGCAGGAATCTTATGCCCAGCCTGGGGCTTGAACTCATGACCTGAGATTGAGAGTTTCAAGCCGTACCAGCTGAGCTATATGACACTTAAAAGGGTGGAAGGATTTTTAAAAAGTAGTAGCATTGTACCCTTATAAAACAGATGCAAAAAACACTCAGTGTCCCATAAAATTCTATGCAGAATGGCTGCATTTGCTCATTCGACTCCATAGCAGAGATATTCACATATTTAGCAGTCTTTTGTAGAGAGATGTTGTTGGACACAATTTCACTTTCAGATGGCTCTTTGCATGCAATAGCTGAAATCAGCTTCGAGTATTGCATTTGAATTATCAAGTTCCCTGCATATATTTCATTAGATATTGATTCAGTTGACTGCTGGGACAGCAAAACTGAAGAGAATGAACTGTAGGAAGAATACAACCACTGTCACAGAAATTTAACCCCCTGGGGTTTCAGGCTCTGTCTGAAAGGCAGACTCTTGATTTTGTTATGTTTTGGAAGCCTGCATGGCTACAGAGACTAGAAACCATTAGCATGTGGAATCCTCGGGCAGCTTCCAGTGTCCCCATGCCCAGGTAGGACCTACCACTCACATCTTTATGTCCCTACCCCTGTCAGAAGAAGTTACTGAAATTTCTCCCCAGTATAAAAATATCCTGGGGCCTTATACAAACTTAAGGACTGCCCTAGCTAGGAATGGATCAGTTAAATTTCATTCCATTTCAGTTTTATCATTCATTTATTAGTCACATAAAAACCCATGCTCAAATAATTATACTGATGTGAGATCTGTTCAGGACTTCAAAGTATGTGAAAGGAAAAACAGGGGTGGAACCAGCAAACCAAAGCGTTGGGAAAACTGCAGGCAGGGGCAGCATGTGGACACATCAGCAGAGCAATAAAACAATAAGATGATAAAACAATAAAGCAATAAAGTAAAATAAGGTGGGAAGAGGCACCGCTGCAATCAGTCCAAGCTGTAAAAAATAAAAAAATCATTTAAAACAATAAATCTTAACTAAAAGCTGGAGGGTTTGCTTAATTAATTCAAAGTGTTGGTGCTGACCATTAAAGCCCTAAACGGCCTTGGTCCAGTATACCTGAAGGAGCGTCTCCACCTCCATTGTTCTACCCGGACACTGAGGTCCAGCGCCGAGGGCCTTCTGGCAGCTCCCTCACTGCGAGAAGCCAAGTTACAGGGAACCAGGCAGAGGGCCTTCTCGGTAGTGGCACCCACCCTGTGGAATGCCCTCTCACCAGATGTCAAAGAGAACAACAACTACCAGACTTTTAGAAGACATCTGAAGGCAGCCCTGTTTAGGGAAGCTTTTAATGTTTGATGGACTACTGTATTTTAATATTTTGTTGGAAGCCGCCCAGAGTGGCTGGGGTAACCCAGCCAGATGGTTGGGGTATAAATAATAAATTATTATTATTATTATTATTATTATTATTATTATTATTATTATTCTGCCGTCATCATCTCCATCTTGTTACAAGCAGTTCAAGTAATTAACTGATGAATGCGCCAGGGTCATGACCCTCAAAGTATGTGTGAGGGAATAAGGTGTGGAAGGGGCATGAAACTATGTACCTGAGGCACATTGTCAACATCCCCATTCCTGCTGATTCTACCTTGGCCATTCCATGTTGAACAGGAAATTCTGAAGGGAGATTCTTCAAGCATTTGGGTGAACACACTAAGAGCAGCAAAGAGCACTGTCTGCACAGGGTTCTCTTCAGAGGATTGTATGAATACTACTACTACTACTACTACTACTAATGAATTTTATTTATACCCTGCGCTCCCCAGCCAAGGCCAGGCTCAGGGCGGCTAACACCAAATATATAATACATTAAAAACACAAAATCAAACAATTGATTAAAATACAGCTCAAAATCACAGTAAAATCAGAATAAAATTAAGTGGCCAACCCACAAATTACAGCCATGAAGGTAGGAATATTAAATATTTGCCAGATCCGGTCACCCGTGCTGGTCCCATATGGGCTAATAGAAAGGGCCAAGAGGGCCACTTACATACAGGGTTTCATGGAAAGAAGGGGGTCAGACTGAGCCCGGACCAAAGGCCTGGTGGAACAGCTCCGTCTTGCAGGCCCTGCGGAAAGATGTAAAATCTCCTTTCAACTCAATGCATGGAGATTGTGGTGGAATCATTGGGGACATTGCTGGCATGCACAGTCCTGTGACTCCACCACAGTTTATTCCCCCATATGGCAGGCCAAGATCAGATCCCAGTTTGCTTGCCTGAATACCCCAAGCTTCTCAGAGCCCAGAGAACCCGGGGGCAAACGAGATCCCAAGTACCTGAAGACATACTTCACTAGATTCCAGTTACTGCCTTGGAAAGATGCTTCTAAGGCGTCCCATATCACCAATGCTAGAAGATTCCCCGTCTAAGTTAGAGTGGAAGGATGAATTGACCCAACCCTAGAGAGCAGAAATGCCTGGAAATTCAGGCTCATGTGGCCACTTTGTAACAAGTGCATGCCCCAAAGCCCAAAGAATCTCCATGACTTGTAATTGAAGACCTCCTTGCAAGTCAAAGAATCAATAGCAGAATTAAGTGCTTGCAGCTACTACTGAGTATGGTCTGAGAAATCAGTTTATATAAGCCCTCAATTCAGATGTCATAGCTGCTAGAAAAGTGTAGGTATTTTAGTTTCCAGAAGCTGGTAGCCTGATCTTCCCTATCTCTTAGCAAATCTCCTGTTTGCCAGAAGCTCTGTTTGCCAGGAAATAAACTTAATTTTGGACAGCTTTATTGTGCTTTGACCTTGGCTTCGCCTAGATACTTTTTTTTGGACTCAACTTCTTCCGGACAGGTGATTTGAATCCCAGCCTGTGGTTGACCTTGTTGTATGGAATTGCTCCAATGAATGTTCAAGAACTGATATTTAAACTTGTTGGAACAGGGCACTCTGTGTTCTTTGGGGGGCTGCACATTGCTGTAGTAGTTAGTACGGTGGCCAGATGATATTACAATAATTCTAAGAAAGGAGGTGCTCAATGAAGATAGTCTCTCAAGAGAGCTGATGGGACTGGCCCTGCTTTCTTTCTCTCCCTTTGTGTTAGCTATATTATTTTAAGGGTTTTTTTCTGCCACATTTCCTGTATTTTTTTGTGGAGGAGGTGTTCATTTTGTAATTTGATGTCTAACTGCCTGCAATGCAAGAATCTTTCACCCAATGTGGGGCTTGAACCCACGGCTCTGAGATTAAGAGTTTTAGGCTCTACTGACTGAGCTATCCCTTCCCAATAGATGGTACACTATCTTTCTCATTAAGGTTTGCATGTAATTAATCTTGGATAAAGAAAAGATATTCAGATATGGAGTGGGTTATCAAAGAAGCTGACCAATCCGAGAATTCACATCTCCAGCATTCCCTGCAGATGCTGCAATCTTTCAAATTGACATTTTCTCTTTGGGGAATTTCATGTGTGTTTACCATAATGCTTATTTCCATTCTATAGAGGGGAGGAGGGAGGGAGATGGAGGACATAAATTCATCCCACTGAAAGGTCCCCTTTGCCCTTTTGTTATGTGAAATCAGCATCGGCTTGGAACTCCCTGTGGCTGAATTGCCCAGAGAATTTACATTGTGTTAGAGAAAATATAAAACATTGGATGATGTAATCAAACTAAATAGACCTGAATGCTGTGCACAAACCTGTATTGTAGTCAGATGTTTTGTTTGAGGAAATGGAGGAGTACCATAGAATCTATATCCAGCTATTCTGATATTTTGAAAGAAGAGGTCAAAGCAGTGATTGGGAGAGCATGTTTCAAGGTAAAAAGGTCTCTGCAAATGAATGCAAAAGATGGGAGTAGTTTCAGGTGTGTGTGTGTGTGTGTGTGTGTGTGTCATAATCAGATGGAGTGCTGACCTCTCTCAGGACCTGCTGCACATTTTGTATTGATTTCGTAGCACAGTGATGGGTCTAGCAGGAGTGATGGTGAGGAGATATTTTATGGAACTGGTTTGATAAATATGTTCTGTGGGTTCTCATTCACTATTAGGCAAGGGATATAGGGCTGCATCCAACTGCGTTCTACTCAGAGTATGTTCATTGTAATTAAGGCTCAGACTTACTCATGGTCTTATGTTTGTGGATCAACATAACCAGTCTCCATCTCTCTCATACATATATGTGGTTCTCTATGGCTCTTAAGATTTTAGGTTCAGATCATTTATATCTGGGAATAGACGGGGGGGAGGGGAGGAGGAAATATTTCCAGTAAGATGATATGAATTAGTAATATCAACCAAATGATGATTTCAGGAGCTCTTCACAGTCCTTTGGCTAAAATAAAATGGAGATTATATAGGGTGTTGGCCTTCTAATGTCATCAGATGTAAGTGCTAGAAAGAAGTGAACTCAGCAACACAAAATGTATTCTGAGTGATAGAATATATTTTCTGCCAGTGGCAGTTTATGTTTCCCATCTCTTCTGACATATGCTTTGATTTTGTTCAAGATTGTCATTCATTTTACATTATCTTGGTCTCCATATTTTTTAAAGGAATTATTAATCCAGGCTACAGAGATAGAATATTTATAATAATTTGATTAGTTTTCATAGCTACATCACTAAGAAGTTATACACCATGTGACTTATCTAGAGGGTGTTGGTTGATAGATAGATATATTCTATTCATGGAGTTAAGCAGATGGCACTCACAAAATGTTTCTATCTGTGCTTTCTGTTCCAGCACTTATTTAGTCTCAGAATGGAACAATTTGTGACAAAAAAAGAAAGGGATAATGAAACAGTGGTCACAGAATTTATCCTCCTGGGATTCAAGACGCTTCCTGAACTGCAGACTCCACTCTTTGTTATATTTTTAGCTATCTACATGGTGACAGTTGCTGGAAACATTCTTATAGCTACAGCAGTCCTTGCTGATCATCATCTTCACAAGCCCATGTACTTCTTCCTGGGGATCCTGTCTATTTTAGAGATCTGCTACACCTCAACAACCCTTCCAAAACTTTTGGCTGGCTTGTCGAGTGACTATTATGGGATTTCTTTTAGCGGGTGTTTTCTCCAGTTCTATTTCTTTGGCTGTTTTGCTTGCACTGAGTGTTACCTCTTATCTGTGATGTCATATGACAGGTATATAGCCATATGTAAACCATTACATTATGTAACCCTCATGAACAGAAGACTATGTGTTCAGTTATCAGTTGCTCCTTGGATTATTGGGGCTGTACTTACTGCAATTACGGCATTCTGTGCATCACATCTGAATTTCTGTGGCCCCAATGAAATTGACCATTTCTTTTGTGATTATACTCCATTGTTAATGCTCTCCTGTGGTGAAACCAAGCAGGCAGAAATGTTGATGACAGTGGTGGGATTCGCAGGCATCATGCCACCATTGATACTGACCTTGACCTCCTATGCTTGCATTATCAACACCATTTTGAAAATCCCATCAAACAGTGGCAGGAAGAAAGCTTTTTCTACCTGCTCCTCTCATCTTATTGTGGTCACCATTTTCTATGGTACCCTTATCATAGTGTACATGTTACCAAACACCGACACACTGAGGGATCTGAACAAAATCTTTTCTCTTTGCTACGCCATCCTGACTCCCATGTTCAATCCCTTCATCTACAGCCTGAGGAACAGAGACTTCAAGCAAGCGCTTACAAAAGCCTTCAGAAAATTTGTGTCTGAGAGAACAATGGAAGGAAACCAAATGCAGCAAGACTAAATGCTTCTGTAACTGAGGAGACAAAAAAGACAAACTGAAAAGAATAGAAGCACTTTGGAGTAAGTGATTTGCGACTTGCAATTTCAAAAATCCACCAGTGAAATTAGTGAAACTAACAACACTGAATCATGCGAAAGGCTGGGCTGGATGAATCCCAAGCTGGAATTAAGATCGCCGGAAGAAATATCAGCAACCTCAGATATGCAAATGACACAACCTTGATGGCAGAAAGTGAGGAGGAATTAAAGAACCTTTTAATGAGGGTGAAAGAGGAGAGCGCAAAATATGGTCTGAAGCTCAACATCAAAAGAATGAAGATCATGGCCACTGGGCCCATCACCTGCTGGCAAATAGAAGGGGAAGAAATGGAGGCAGTGAGAGATTTTACTTTCTTGGGCTCCATGATCACTGCAGATGGTGACAGCAGTCATGAAATTAAAAGACGCCTGCTCCTTGGGAGAAAGGCGATGGCATACCTAGACAGCATCTTAAAAAGCAGAGACATCACCTTGCCAACAAAGGTCCGTATAGTTAAAGCCATGGTTTCCCCAGTAGTGATGTATGGAAGTGAGAGCTGGACCATAAAGAAGGCTGATCGCTGAAGAATTGATGCTTTTGAATTATGGTGCTGGAGGAGACTCTTGAGAGTCCCATGGACTGCAAGAAGATCAAACACATCCATTCTTAAGGAAATTAGCCCTAAGTGCTCACTGGAAGGAAAGATCCTGAAGCTGAGGCTCCAATACTTTGGCCACCTCATGAGAAGAGAAGACTCCCTGGAAAAGACCCTGATGTTGGGAAAGATGGAGGGCACAAGGAGAAGGGGACGACAGAGGATGAGATGGCTGGACAGTGTTCTCAAAGCTACAAACATGAGTCTGACCAAACTGTGGGAGGCAGTGGAAGACAGAAGTGCCTGGCATGCTCTGGTCCATGGGGTCACGAAGAGTCAGACATGACTAAACGACTAAACAACAACAACAACACTGATTGCTTTTTTAAAAGATGCTGAGCATATACATGTATAATGTCATTCAGAAGAGTGTAGAGATTTCCAAAACCTAGTATTCCACCCTTTGTAGTCTGTTGGGACTACAGAACTGAATAAAATGAACCATAGGAAGGAGACATGGGGTTAATCCAACAACTGTGACAGAAATTTAACCTCCTTGGGTTTAAGGTTCTGCCTGAAATGCAGAGTTTAGATTTTCTTGTGATTCTGGAAGCCTGCATACCTAACAATGGCAAGGCACCATTACCATGTGTCATCTTCTGACAACTGTTGAATTCCTCATGCCAGACAGGTCCCACAACTTTTGACTGTCTGGGGCTGCAGATAATATCTCCCCACCCTGCCATGAACTGGCATTGAGTTATCTTACAATGACCCATCATATTGTTGCATTGGGGGGAAATGCGCCATTAAAGGGTGCCCTAACTAGATATGTATCACTCTATTTTCATCCTGTGTCAGTTTTGTGTGTGCTCATTCATAAATCTGATCCAGCACGTCGCCATTTATTTGTTTGTTTTCAAATCCATATACTATTTATTGCTGGCACTCAAGAATTTGTCAAATGGCCGTTCTTTAAAAGATAGCTCAGAAATCAGGTCCTCCCTTAAATAGGGCACGTATTGCAGTGAGACCTGGAAAACAGACACTCTGTGTTGTGGGTGGGTACGATTGGTCAGCCACAACACCCGATTGGTAGGTCCCTCATAGCTGGGTGCAATCTGGCCAATGGGACGCAGTCCAAACAGTTCGAGGGACCTATTTATACCCATGCACGTGACCCAGAGCTTCCTCTTTCGGCGTGTGCATTCGGAACACTCACCCACCTCTCCCTACTTTTAGGGCTTTTGCACTTGACCTTGCTATGCCATCATGTGTTGTCTGTTTTTGGGACCCCCACTTGGCTGATTGGCTGTTACCATTTGGGTTTCACCTGCCGCGTAGCAAATCATCACAACTTTTAAGGTTGTGGATAGGCTCTGGTTCAGGTGATAGGAATGGGAGAACACTCTCGCCATCCCTACGTGAAGGATATTCCGTTAAAGGAATCCAAGAACTCGATGGTTTGGTCAAACCCTGAGAGGGGGTTGTGCCCATGCCTGAGTCCAGGGGGACATTTGGGTGGCGGAGTTAGCCCGTTCCCAGCTTTCCTCTTATCCAGGTGTTCCCTCTTGGCTGACCTATGCTGGAGCTCTGGGTCAGCGATGCCTGCATGGCAGGGAGCTAGTCGAACCAGAGCCTATGAAACCAGTCACTTTCTGTAATCAATAAAGTTGTGGCCTAAATTCTGCCAAAAACCGAAACCAACATTTGAGTGAAGTGTAAATTTATTTAGGGGGGAGGTTTCTGGGTCTGAACACGCAAACTAAAATATCTAAAAGGCAGAGCTTGAAGGACTCCCCACCTCTATTTTGTGTCTTGATTTTATTTCTTATAAAAATAATGAGGAACATGGTCATTCAGTGCCATCATTGTATGCAAATGTCTGGCTCATTTAAGACTACATAAAATATTTATTATTAATAA